TAAATTATCTCGATAATATCGTTCGACTGTAACACCTTACAATATAAAATCTGCCTTCTTTTGCATGCAATGTAGAGATGATAAAAATGGTGATCCAAATTCTAACCTAAAAGAATCATCCAGCCAGAAAAAAAAAACAGGCAGAGAAAGGTAATCCTATTGTAAGAGAAAAATTACAGTTCACCGGCATGTCAGAGTTTACAAGAAGCAGCGTGGAATGAGATTAAGAGGGGGCCGCGAGCGTGCACTTCCGGCGTCGCAGTGCATAAATTATTCGTACGCGTAGATTCCAGTCAGCGGATAAACGATAAAAGGGCAAAGCGGCGTTTTATCGGGCAACGGTACTAATCCGGTTTACAAGGCGCTAACGACGAGCCACGTCACCCCTAATTATCCCTTTTCACCGGGAGACCGTGAGCGACGCTCGGCGACGCGGTGACGCTCCGCGTCGAGCTGCGTGTCCCGAACAATTAAGACGCGTCCGTCTTCTCCTCATCCTCTGCACGTGTTACACCAGCCTGCACGAGAACTTGACGGAATAATTTCGTAAGTTCCGACGCGTTATACACCTGACAGCCTGCGCTCTTCTCCGTCTGCCACCCTTTTCTACCTGGTATAATAAATCAGCTTTCCTCCGTCGTTGCAAACTTCTTTATCCTTTCCCACCGTCCTCTTCTGGCTCGATCGAAACATCCACGACTAGCCTTTGTCAACCTCCTACTCTTCTCTCTCTCTCTCTCTCGCTCTTTTCATCGATCGAGGAATCGAAACTTTTCAAGCTACCCTCAAAAATACGTATTTCTTTTCTCTAAATGCCCGAATCTAAATTATCTCGATAATATCGTTCGACTGTAACACCTTACAATATAAAATCTGCCTTCTTTTGTATGCAATGTCGAGATGATAAAAATGGTGAATCACATTCTAACCTAAGAAAATGATCAGAGAATCAAAATTTCTCGAGCTACCCTCAAAAATACGTATCTTTTCTGTAAATTGTTTCGTTAATAGTATTAGATATAAAGTGAGCTTCTTTCTTGCATACGATGCAGAGATGATAAAAATGGCGACCCAAATTCTAACCTAACAAAATCATCAAAGAATCGAAACTTTTCAAGCTACCCTCAAAAATACGTATTTCTTTTCTCTAAATGCCCGAGTCTAAATTATCTCGATAATACCGTTCGACTGTAACACCTTACAATATAAAATCTGCCTTCTTTTGCATGCAATGTAGAGATGATAAAAATGGTGATCCAAATTCTAACCTAAAAGAATCATCCAGCCAGAAAAAAAAAACAGGCAGAGAAAGGTAATCCTATTGTAAGAGAAAAATTACAGTTCACCGGCATGTCAGAGTTTACAAGAAGCAGCGTGGAATGAGATTAAGAGGGGGCCGCGAGCGTGCACTTCCGGCGTCGCAGTGCATAAATTATTCGTACGCGTAGATTCCAGCCAGCGGATAAACGATAAAAGGGCAAAGCGGCGTTTTATCGGGCAACGGTACTAATCCGGTTTACAAGGCGCTAACGACGAGCCACGTCACCCCTAATTATCCCTTTTCACCGGGAGACCGTGAGCGACGCTCGGCGACGCGGTGACGCTCCGCGTCGAGCTGCGTGTCCCGAACAATTAAGACGCGTCCGTCTTCTCCTCATCCTCTGCACGTGTTACACCAGCCTGCACGAGAACTCGACGGAATAATTTCGTAAGTTCCGACGCGTTATACACCTGACAGCCTGCGCTCTTCTCCGTCTGCCACCCTTTTCTACCTGGTATAATAAATCAGCTTTCCTCCGTCGTTGCAAACTTCTTTATCCTTTCCCACCGTCCTCTTCTGGCTCGATCGAAACATCCACGACTAGCCTTTGTCAACCTCCTACTCTTCTCTCTCTCTCTCTCGCTCTTTTCATCCCAACCCCTTGGCTACGTATTTACGTTGCCAACGCAAAGTTTCTTCAAAAAGTATCGTACTTTGTGGAACTCCGGTGAACCAACTCGAACGTTCGTTCAACTTTGTGTCCCTGTGTCGCGTGGATACTCTGTTTTACTCGATTCGTAGATCGATCAGAGTTAGACTGACAAAGACACGCGTTTATGGGGTGCTTGGAGATGTTTTGCGAAGGGTCGAAGTGAAGCAAGATTTGGGACGATTTTTACGGTGTGACGTGCTTTCTTGGGGGGAGTTTCGGAATTGCAAGGTTTTTGATTTCGATGAGTGTGAGTATTGGACACTTGGTTTCGCTGACGAATCGAGACTTGCGTATTAACGCGTTTCGTCTGTAAATGTTCGAATATTCAAATTTTCCAATTTTCGAATATTCAGATATTCAAATACATTTTAAAATTTCCAAATGTTCAAACATTCAAATTTTCACGTATTTTAATATTTAAATTTGCAAATATTCCGAATAAAAATTTTCAAATTTACAAATACTTAAACATTCAAATGTTTCTCCTTTTCAAACTTTTAAGGCACTGGACTCTCGCTTTCCCCTACAAAAAGAAACATTGCCTACTAACGCGTCTCATTTCAGCCGCAACGACGACGTTCCGGCAAGCAAGCTCGTCCAAAACGACAATTACCCCTGTATGCAACACAAAAGAACAAACGTCTGGAGATTTGCAACTTCAAACTTACCCTTCTCCCTTACACCTACAAAATTAACCTAATTTCCACTCCAAGTTCCCTTAAACTTTTGATAAAACCATAAAAAGTTACTTCCCAAATAACGAAGCAAATTCCTTCGCAAACTACTCTTAAAAATTCCGGAAAAGGGTGACAGTGTTCCCCGAAGCAGGGTACTAATTACACAGAACCGATCAATCGCCTGGATTTTTCAACTTTACGCTCGTTCCTTTCATTTTCCACGCGAACGAGCATCCAAGCCTCGTCACGAATGACAAAAGCCGCCGCGAGTAGACAGAAATTCCAGGATAAATTTCCGTACGCCACGAAACACGCGGTATAAACAGGGACAGAGGGATAAATCGGGAACTAGGCGGTAAAAGAGGCACGTTCTCGAGAGAGAGAGAGAGAGAGAAGAAAAGGTCGCGGTTTTTCGGCGAACAAACGTCGCGTCGTGCAAACTGGGTCTCTCCCTCTCTTCAACGAATTCGTACACTCGGTATTTTCGTTCATTTTTGTTTTGTTTCCACTATGTTTCCATTTATTTTGTATATGACAGCAGTACGATCTGCTCCGTCTCTTCTCTTGTAACAAGAAAAAAAAAAAAACCGAGAAAAAAAATTAATACTTCCTCTTTGTCGTCATACTACCTAGTAAATCGCTGTAGTACAATTACAACAACTCGACACGCTTTCGATATATTTGAAAAAAGAAAAAGAGAAAAAATAGAAGAGGAAAAAGAAGAAACAAGAAGGATGAGAAAACCGAAGACAACAGAAGAGAGAAAAGAAGGTATAGAAGATAAAAGTGAAACAGCACGCTACTGCTGTATGCGCGTGTACGTTTCTGATTTGTTTCTTCTCTCGTCATTTTTTTGTATTTTTCTTTCTTTTTTTTTTTTTTTAAGTCACACGCTTCTACGGTAATTGTTGAACCAAGCGCGCGATCCAAGCTCGTTCACGTATTTGTTCTTCATCTTTTTCTTTTTTTCTTCGTTTGTTTGTCTGTTTGTAAGATCTCTTCCCCTTAAGTTACGCTGGCCGCAGCCTTAGTCTTAAGTAACGATTTTTCGAAATCTTTTACAACTAAAATTTCTCTCTCTCACTCTATCTCTCGTTCACTTTTACACCTACCATTCACTCGTCCACTTACAGTGCTCGATCTCATGTATTACTCTTACGTATATAATAATAACAATAATAATAATAATAATAATATTAATAATAGTAGTAATAATAGTAGTAGTAATAGTAATAATAACGATAACAGTAATAATAGTGTATTCGGAAAAGTACACGGTAGATTCTAAGCTCAAATTTTGATTCGATAAGTCCGAGACGATTTGTCCACCCAACACGAATCGAGCACCTTGGATAATAATTCGCGGATTCGAAAAAAAAAGAAAAAAAAAAAAAAGAGAAAGGACACCTTATTTAATAGAGCCGTGAAAGTTTTCCCTTAAAACGTACACGATGAGAAAAACGTGAAACGATACTTTTCTTTCTTTCTTTTGTTCCTGTTCTGTCTTTCTTTTCCATTTCTCGTCGACACGCGCGCAGATCGCGCCCG